TGCAGCTGTATTGCCCAAATTTTTATTGCACAGAGCCTATGCAGCCAGCAGAGGGGATGCGTGTACTTTGAACGGATGTTTGATACCCTGGTGGATGGAGCAAAGAAGACCGCTTATAAAAGCCAGACCACAAGGTTGGTTCTCCCTCTTTGTACGGCGATGTTGGTGTCGTGGTATAAGATGGTTCTCTTATCGGAACGGCGCATTTTGGGTGCAAACATGTAAGTAACGTTAGTGTAATATATGTTTTAAAATATTTTTTTTCAGCAAACTTATTAAAGAATACTTTAAATCCTACCCCCATATTAAAAGCATTTGAAGATTTGGGAGTACATAAAAAATTTACAGTTTAATACGTCTTAAGTGTAGTAGACTTGAAACTAATTTCCGCATTTCTCCATATTCGTTTGCAGTCCGTCTCATGATGGAGGAAGCGCATGGAAACATGGCCCTGGATGATTTTCGCCATTGTTGTTTGTCCAACATTGAACGCGACGAGCTTTCGGTAAGTGAACTGAGGTTGGACAAGTAGCTAATCGTGTAATGTGTCCGGTTAAACGTTATTATGAGCCGATGATGACTTCAATTTACTTTTTCTGACACCTCGTATGAACGCTGTAATTCAGCAGCTGATTATAAACTTAAGTCTGAGGCTCTTTAGCTTTTAAAGCTTGAGATTTTCACTATTTTGGTTCAGTTTAACAGTTGTTTTATTTTTCAATCAGCCATGTTGTAGTAATTTCATTAGTGTTTTTGTTTTAAACTGGTTAACTTGTTACTATTAATGTAGACTATTATTTTAGATTTCCACCTTTTTAAAGTTTGTATTAAATAAAGATAAAACCTAATATTTAAGTAAGTTGACATTTTTTTTTTTATAACTTCAAGGCACTGTTAGTGAGAATTTCCACCAGATTTACATTTAAATCCACCCCTTCAAAAATTGCATCCTCAAATTTAGCAAGCCAGTTGTTATTATAAATTTAAGTATCAATTGATTTTTTTTTTTTCTATGAATTTTCTTTTTCTTTAACATACTTGTAACTAATGTTTGACTTTGTTTCCACTTTCCAGTAGTTCTCATTGATGCAAGTGCAGAAAATGCCTTGGAGGATTTGCACCATGGTCATTTGTACATGTTCAACATCTGCATTTGCATCTCTTAAATCAAATAGGACATGAAGGGTTTGCGGTAAGTGAACTGAGCTTGGACCACAAATCTGGTCATGTGATAAAATAAATGTGAGCCGCTGATGACTTCAGTTTACTTTTTCTGACACCTCGTATGAACGCTGTAATTCAGCAGCTGATTATTAAGTTTAGTCTGAGGCTCTTTAGCTTAAAGCTTGGTGTATTATCACGGTTTTCAGTCCTTGAAATTTAACATTAGGTTTATAGGTCATAATTTTTTTAGGAATATTGTTGTTAGTGGTGTTGGTATTGTAAACCATCGCTAACTTGTGGTTGCTATAATGTACGGTGTATTTTTAGCTTTTTTTTTTTTTTTTACCTCCGCTTAAGTTTGGATTAAAAAAAATGGAATGTCCAAGTAAATTGGCTTTGTTTATCTTCAAGGCACTATTAGTGAGAATTCCCTTCAGTTTTACATATAAATGCATCCCTTCAAAATTTGCACCCTCAAATTTAGTAAACAAGTGACTAAATTTAAGTTTGTCCATCGACTAAATGTAGAACTGTATTTTCTGTTTATGTCTTTTCCATTTAATATACTTGTAGCTGATGTTTGTTTGTTTGTTTGTTTCCACTTTCCAGCAGTTCTCATTGATGGAAGTGCAGAATTTCTTGAAGGATTTGCACCATTGTCATTTGTACATGTTCAACGCTTGCTTATGCATGTCACAAATCAAATTGAACACGAGTTGATGGTAAGTGAACTGAGCTTGGACCACAAATCTGGTCATGTGATGAAATAAATGTGTGAGCCGCTGATGACTTCTATTTTAACTTTTTCTGACACCTCGTATGAATGCTGTATTTCAGCAGCTGATTATAAACTTTTAGTCTGAGGCTCTTTAGATTAATGCTTTGTTTAGAGTTCTCACATTTTGGCTTGGAATGTTTTTGGAGATGCCTTAATAAATTTAACCATTTTGTTGCTGTAAACCTTTATGATGTCATGGTTTTATTTTTTATTGACCACAGTTCAGGTTTTACCAATTAAACTGTTGATAACATTGTTTTATTATTATTATTATTATTATTGGGAATGTCTGTAAGGTAGTTGCCTATATGATTGTAACTTTGAGAGAGCTTGTGTGATTTGTAGAGTTTTAGTATTTCCAAGGGAGAAACGTATATCAACATGCAAGTAAAGCCCTCCCCACAATCCAAAATTGTCAAGTGACTACAAAGTTAATTAACTTAAGTGAAATGTGAGAACTAGTGTTCGGATTTTTTTTCTCCCCAATATTATATGGGCTTTATAACCAATATAATACTTTTTCCAGCAGTTTTCATGGATTAATCTGAAGTTCCCAACTGGAAAGTGTTTTGCCAGAGGTGAGAGACTTTCAGCTCATTTTGTGCCATTTTTTTCTATCCAGTCATAAGCATCACTGACTTATTGTAGTGAGACTGTTATTACCTTGATTATTGTAGCACATTGCAGTGATGAGAAACCGTTTGCTAAGCTGATCCATGATTATTGGTTCTGATTGTAAACTCTCTCCCTGAGCTCTTTTAAAGAAGTGACTCGTTTTGGTTTCGACTCTGGCACAAACTCAATATACTTGTCTTTATATTTGCAGATGTGGGAAGACCAAGAAGTCTGTTTGGAGGTCTGCAGTTTGGAATATGAAGTCCTGTTTTTCCACAAATGCCAATGTTGGAAAATATTTATTCATTTTTAACCATAAATGTTGTGTTTGAGTTGATGTTTGTTATAGAAGTTGTTGCCAAATATGCATCGTATTTCTATAAAGCTTTGCATCTTTACTGCAGTTGTGTATCTGGTGGTTTGTATGATATATTGAGCTGTAGGCCATGTCATAATTTTGTAATGTATGATGTGATCCTGAATTGTCTGATCCTGGGTCATTTTTTTATTATTATTATTATTATTATTATTATTTAAAAAATTTTTAATTTTTTATTTTTTTGGAAAGTAATCTATAGCTATTCCCTATCCTCAACTAAGTGTAAGAAACTCCCAAAACCAAAGGTGAATAATAGTTGGATTAAGCATATGTGCGTAAATCAAACCTTAACTTAAACCCTAAATGTATCCTCTAATTCTGATTGGATTGTTAAAGTATGAACATGGATGCTACTCTAGGAACATGTCCTACTTGTTAATCAGGTTGGTGGCAAGTAAACCTGAAAATATCACTAGTTTGTGCCCAAGTGATAACTGGTGGTTTAATGTCATTACAAATCAATTCATCTTTCTGTAGTGTTAACCATTCGATTTTTAAAATGGAAGTTCTAGCAAATTGAAATCGCGTTTGTCCTAATTTCAGAGTTGAAGTCTAGTTGAAGTTTTATTTAATACCTCAGTTTGCATATGTCTAGTGCCTGCTGTTTTTAAAGCATAATATAAACCGTCCTCCATCCTACACGGATGATCCACTCCAGACGTTTCTGACTGCAGGGAGACCCGTTACATGCGCTCCACTTCCGGATTATTGCTCGTAATGATCGCTCCGCTGTGTGGTTCATCACTCGGATGATGTTCCAGAGCTTGTGCATTTAATACATCAGTCAGTCGCTCATAGACGACTACAATAAGCTCCAAAAGCTGCATTTTCCCGACGTTTTCATCTAGACTCGTCGAACTGTTTTATTGCACGCGTTTAAATGAAACTTGTAAGGTAAGTAAATGTGGGAGATAAACCGGGGAGAGATGTGTTGATGTAAATTAATGAGTTTTGAACGGAGCCAGTAAGGCGTTATAAACAATGTCCCTTTTGTGACACCCACGCAACACAGAATGGCGTTAATGTGTTTGCGTCGTGCATTTAAATCTTTAATGTTCAAACTATCAACTCTATTCAGTGTTTATGAGGGTGATTTTCCTTTATAAACGAGTGTTCGTTATAAAAACCGCGATGTTTCCTTGACTGATTTACGCGCTGGCTGACTGATGTTGATGGGAGTGGTGGTGTTTTTGTAAAAGCTGAATTTATTGCTCGAATTCGATTGAAATCTATACTGGGAACATGCTGTAGATATCTCAGGGGCTCGGTAGATGCATTAACGCACGAGCAGCTGACATCTGGATCAGATTGGGTTATCCATGGATCCGTGCGGATGTGCTTGATAGCAAGTGCTAATGGGAAGAGACATTCTGAGTGATGCTGATGTCTGGCTGCCTCTTATTAGGCTTTTAAGTTAACGTCGTTATGCTTTTTTGTTGGCCTTTTTTATCTGAATATTTGATTTAAATTCTATAAACATTGGTTTATGGTTGCAATTAAATTTGTGTATTGTGTAAACTTCAATTTCTAAAAGGTTTAGATTTTGTTTGTCTTAAAATGGAAAGTACAGAATGTTGATTAATATTGTGTCTATTAAATAACCGAAGTCTAACTTACTAAATTATTGTATTAGGCTATATTTTTAATTTTACACTACAGTGTTCCATATGAAATAGAGATCCATACAAAAAAATTCATTTATTTTAGGGGGATTTGTAGTAAACCGTCACCTTGAATTATAAGGTTCTATCTGACATTTGTCAAAATGGAGTTATTGACATTATTATTATTAATATTATTAAATGGTAACTTATTTACATTGTTGTTTTTTTATAAGTTTACATTTTAAGACTTGTTATTTTAAAAAAAAACTAATGTTACACACACACACACAGTTTGCTATGGAATACAAAAACTTTAAAGCTCATAATCTCAAAATCATTGAGAGTGCAGATGGAACCTTAATTCCAAGGTGATGATGTCTGAACCAGTGACTAATATAGAGAATACCACAGATTTAGGCCATGTTATTTAGGCTACTAACTATAGAAATTGGGACAGATGTGGGTTATAGCCAGGGGTGGACTTAGTGAATTGGGGGCTGTAACATTTTAACTCCAAACATTTTCTCTATAGAATTTTTTTTCCTCTATATTAGTTTATGTAAATAAACTGCATGTTAAAGATATATTTTAAGTGGAAGCTTTTATCTTTTTAATGTAAATAAAATAAATTTACAAAAAAAAAAATACACAAACTATACAGTTAATTAGCCATTTGTGTTAGACTTTAATGTTTATGTTCAGTACGGAAGGAATGTTCCACTATTCATGGGGGCCTCTAGGTTTTGAAAAGAAGTAATAGTGTTAATTTTAATGGTTATAGACAGATTTAACAACATATAGAATATTTATATAAGAGCTACTGTATATAATTAGTGTAGGATTCTTGGCGTTCGGGCATCCCTACTTTCCTGGGCCCCTATGTGGCTGATTACCTCGCTTATTGGTTAAGTTCGCCACTGGTCATAGCATATGCTTTGAACTACATGTTGTAAATAACATCACTATAATATATTATATTAACTTTGTTGGACTAAAGTGCAGTTTATATGAATTATGTAAATGTTATGGTGTTTATAAATAACTAAAAATAAACACCGTGAATTTTTCTATTCTGATTCTTTTTATTTAAGCCCTCTTATGTGAGAGAATAGCATTATAAAAAATTATTCATTCTCTCAGTAATGTACAGTTCAACATTTCCACTTCTAAACTGGCACATAATGGTAACCCCTGCATCACTTTAAGATTATTAAGTTGTTCTGTTTACCACCAAAAACAGTAATGTAGAGTATTTACAGTAGTCTCACATTCAAAAGTGTCACGTTTGGGGTAAAACAGAAACCACACACATCCTCATTCCTTTTCCGTCACAGTCTGATGTTTCCATGCCAACGGTGACATCAGCAGTGTGCAGGGATGTGTGGAAAGGATGAAAGACTCCTCTGCTGTGGTTCTCTTTGGTTATCAGCTGCCACCAACTGAAAAATATTACAGGTCACATGATTGTTAGACTTATGAGGAAAGTATAATCAGTAATTACATTAAAACACAATCATGCATATATTTGATGGATTAAAATGGCCATGTCATATCAGTTTTTTTGTAATTTGTATTGAAAATAGCAGATTTGTCTTCTCATAATGTTCAAGCATGAACTGCATTGTTATCAAAGGGAGTGAAATGCTTTTTAAGAATAAAAATAAAACAAAATAAGTACAGATTAGCGTGTGTGTTGATTTGCTGAATTGATTAGCTATGCAAAACATCCCACAAAGCAATGTTGTGTCTAATAGCCCACCAAGCAATTTTGTGTTTAGACGTCTAAAAGACATCTAGACGTAGATGTATTTGTTAAAGCAACACTACATTTAAACTCTGTGAGAATTTAAGGTTATTATTATTATTTTTTATTTATTTATTTGATGACTAGTCTAGTTTTGGGCTTTTCTTCGATGTCTATTTGAAGTTTCCAGACAGCTCAAATTCAGCCTTGTTTTAATAAAGCTGTGTATGTTATAACATCTATTAGACTTGCTTACTGTGAGACATCTAAACATCTTGGCTAAAACAGGGCTAAATCTGGGCTGTCAGTGAAAATATAATAGACATCTAAGAATAGACCAAAACTAAACTAGTCATCAAATACAGATTAGACAGACTTCACATATGTTATATGTTATTATACGTTATTTTTTTGTATTTGATGACAATAGTTTTGGGCTTTTCTTCGATGTCTGCCTGGTTTTAACGAAGCCATCTTTCTTTACATGTCTATTAGACTTATTTAATAACAAAAAATATTTGCTGAGAGGCATCTAAACATCTTGGCTAAAACTGGGCTAAATATGGGTTGTGATTGAAAATATAATAGGCTAAGAATATTATTATAATAACTAAGAAAATATAATAACTAAGAATAGACCAAAACTAGACTAGTCATCAGATATAGATTAGACAGGCTTCACATATGTAGTCATTCATTTTTTTTTATTTATTTATTTATTTTTTTTTTTTGTATTTGACTAGTCTAGTTTTGGGCTTTTCTTTAATGTCTATTAGATGTTCAGTGACAGCTTAAATTTAACCTTGCTTTAACAAAGCTGTCTATGTTTAGACATCTATTAGACCTCTATTAGACTTCTTTTAAAAACTAAAAATGCTTGTTGGGAGATGTCCAAACATTTTGGCCAAAACAGGGCTAAATCTGAATTGTCACTATAACTCTAATAGACATCTAAGATTAGATTAAAACTAGTCATCAAATACAGATTAGACAGACTTCACACAGGTAGTCGTTCATTTTTTGGTATTTGCCTAGTCTAGTTTTGGGCTTTTCTTTGATGTCTATTAGATGTTCACTGACAGCTCAAATTTATCCTTGCTTTAACAAAGCTGACTATGTTTAGACGTCTGTTAGACCTCTATTAGACTTCTTTTAAAAGCAAAAAATGCTTGCTGGGAGACGTCTTAACATTTAAGCTAAAATGGGGCTAAATCTGGGCTGTCAGTTAAAATCTGATTGACATCTAAGTATAGGCCAAAACTAGACTAATCATCAAGCAGACATAGACTTAACGTGTGTAGTCACTTATTCCTGTGCATTTGATGACTACTGTAAATTTTGATCCATTCTTATACATCTATTACATTTTCACTGCAAGCCCAAATTTAGCCTTGTTTTAGCCAAGAATTCTATATTTAAATCTCCATTAGACATCTATTAGACTTCTTTTAACACACACAAAAATGTAATTGTATATAAAGCATGATTTTTGTTTGTTTGTTTGTTTGTGAGTAAATACACTCTCAGAAATAAAGGTACATGAGCTGTCACTGGGGTGGTAAATTTTCAAAAGGTACACATTTGTACTTGAAGGGTCCATATTGGTACTCAAAAGCATAGTACCTACAATTTATTGTATTAATATGGACCTTTTAGGTACAAATGTGTATCTTTTGAAAAGGTACCACCCCAGCGGCAGCTCGCGCACCTTTATTTCTGAGAGTGTAGCTTCACTTTATTCTTTACTTTCAACCTTTTTTTCACTTTAGGTTTATGAACAATCGTGCACCTTATAATAAGAGATATCAGCCCACGGAATATGAGCACGCTGCTAACTGTGCCACACATGCTGTAAGTTGTGTGTTTACTGTTTTTATGGGATAGTTCACCAAAAAAAAGAGATAATATGCTCTTACTCAATGACATTTGCTGTTTGTTTAAACTACTTATTTAAATTAAGCTGAAGCAACACAATTCTTAAGATTTTTTAGGGGGGCGACTTATTTGTTTTATTTTCAGTCCACTTCAATTAGTAAAAATGAATAAGCTAACTTAATTCCTTTATGTTGTGCCAACTCAAATCGATTTTCAAAATGGAAGTCCTTCATTATTTACTCACACTAAAGTTGTTCTTAACTTATGAATTTATTCTATCTGTTACTCAAAAATAAGATGTTTTCCAATATATCTTCCTTTGTGTTTAACAGAAAGCTTCAAAACAAATGTAAAAATGTTTGGAACAGGTGCAGACTTAGCATTCATAAAATGTTTCTGTCACTTGTTCAGTCTTCTTATTTAAAATGAAGTAAAACAACTTAATTCTTGACTGAGAATAACTGTTTCATGATCCATCCATTTAAATTTGTTAATGGCTTTGTGTTGGGACATCATAAATGAAGATAAATGTAGAACCCTGCATTATTTTAAGTGAGTAAATAATAACAGAATTCTCTTTTTGTTGAACTATCCCTTTAAATTAAACTTTCATTTTTAGATGAACTGTTCTTTAATAATAGATGCGTATTAAAAATAAATATGACATCCACATTTGACATCATGATCTATGACTGATTTCCCCTTCAGCTCTGGATCATTCCCAGCATTGTGGGTGGGATCTTACTGTACTTCTTATCTGATGACCACTGGGAGGAGATTTCAGCATGGCTTTATGGGGCAGGACTATCAAGCCTGTTCATCATATCCACAGTTTTCCACACCGTCTCCTGGAAAAAGAGCCATCTTCGGTAAAGCTTTCATATGAGCCAGATCCATTTTTTTAAAAATTCATAAAGCTTGAGTACTGTGAATGCAGATACTACTTGACATGAATGTTTGACTGATGGGTTGCAATATGCCTTTAGTTTTATTTTATAAAATTATGTGTTTCACTAAAGCAGAATTGAATTGAACTGACATTTAAGTTTGTGTAGTTTTGGTTTGTCACAGTGGGGCGTATTGAAAAACAATGAAAAATATTTGTAAAAGTTTGTAACAGCCTCGTACCTCTGTTGTATCATAAAACTATTGAGCTTCAGCTTGATATAATAAAATATGATACAATACTATGCAATATAATATAATATAATATATTCATTCATTCATTTTCTTGTCGGCTTAGTCCCTTTATTAATCCGGGGTCGCCACAGCGTAATGAACCGCCAACTTATCCAGCAAGTTTTTACGCAGCGGATGCCCTTCCAGCCGCAACCCATCTCTGGGAAACATCCACACACACATTCACACACACTCATACACTACGGACAATTTAGCCTACCCAATTCACCTGTACCGCATGTCTTTGGACTGGGGGAAACCAGAGCACCCGGAGGAAACCTACGCAAAGGCAGGGAGAACATGCAAACTCCACACAGAAACGCCAACTGAGCCGAGGTTCGAATCAGTGACCCAGCGACCTTTTTGCTATGAGGCGACAGCACTACCTACTGCGCCACTGCCTCACCTTAATATAATATAATATAATATAATATAATATAATATAATATAATATAATATAATATAATATAATATAATATAATATAATATAATAAAGTCACAATATCAACTTTGACCACATTGTTTAACTATTATAAAATATATAGATTTTTTTTTTTTCCCAGGCAAAAGTGACTGTATGTTTTTGAGAAATGAGCTCTAACAAGTCTTTACTTTACTTTTAGGTCAGTCGAGCACTGTTTCCACATGTGCGACAGGATGGTGATCTATTTCTTCATTGCAGCATCCTACACACCTTGGTGAGCAATATGTATGAATGTTGAAATGTGAAGAACTTTGAGAATGGAGTTTTCAGTCTGCTTTAGAGATTGGCGGCTATCATAAATGGACACAGTTATAGTTGTTAGGGTGGTGAAGGATAAGAATGTAAAGAGCAAAGGTTTAAACATGCCTGTTCGTTCCTATTTGCATACTGTATATTTGGTGAAACGCAGTATAAACCCAAAGTATAATTTAAGTAAAAAAAAACAAGTAAAGTAATTAAAACTACACATCCATAGTTTATAGATTAAACTTTTTTCGAAAATCTATTTCAAGCTAAATCTAGTACCTCTACCACACAATATGCAATTTCAGAAACAGTTCAAGATGTATGAATAGGGAATTGTGTTTTTATTGGAGGACCAATATTTCTGTAAAAAGGATTTGTTGCTTAAATGTACAGCATTTTGTTTCTTATTGAATTGAGTGGATTTGAAATTTTATGGCTGTCCAAATTTGTTTTAGAATTGCTGGTCCTTTTAAACATATTGGGCCCTATCATACACCCGGCGCAGTGTGGCGCAAGGCGTGGCGCAAGAGTCGTTTTGAGGCGTTGCGCTACGCTGTTTAAATAGCAAATGCATTAGCGCTCATTTGTGCGCCCATAGGCGTTCTGGTCTAAAAAGGAAGGTGTTCTGAGGCGGACCGCTGGCACGTTGCTATTTTGAGAAACTATAATAGATTTTTCATTAGACCAAAACTAACCCGGCCAGCTCCAGCACAGAGTTGCGTCTCGCTTACACACTGCTTAATACGCACAAGAGAGCAATAGGCAAATATCTTTACATATGAAAAAAATTAAATATTAAGGATATATATAGGATATAATAAGAATAGAGATAGGATATAAATATAAAAGATTAAATATTACAAAACATATTATTTTTTAGCCTACATAAATATGAAAAATCACTGCTTTTATGTCTTCTTCATCTCGGGAGGCTTTTTCAGTTCATTCATAACAATTTGCTTCTGTATAATGTTATTATTATTAGCAGTATTATTTATTATATCCATATTTATATTTGTTTTATTAAAAACAAGCTTAAATTTGCCCACCTGTCAGGTTTTAGACCATATGAGGCACATCATGTGTTTTAGGATATAACTCAGGTTTTTGTAGACATTTTGTTATTATTATTCATTTATTCGTTTGCTGGAAATTAGAACTGAATTTAGAAATAGTTTTGAAACAAATATTCACGCTTAACAAACAAAAGTATTTATTTATAGACTAATTGATGTCTGTGCGTAAAGGTTTCCCTATCCAAGAGCGAATGTGAAAGTAGTTCCATTATCTCTCATTCTCACGCAGTAGATGCTCTGTTTAACTGTTTTCTGTTAAAAAATTGTTAACTGTTTGCTAGTGAAATGCTCATTTTTTCTACTTAGAGTTACTTTGCATCCTGTAAATAGCAAATGCGCTCTTGGCGCGACGCAGCTGGGTCTTAAAGGGGAATGGGAGATGAGACTCTAATTGGTTTATTCTCAAACCCCCCATATAACTCATTAAGAAAATAAAGTCAACCCTTTTAGACCATGCGCCGCGGTGCAAGGCAGATTTCCAGTCCTTAAATTAGCAAAAACGCGTCCTGACACGCCCTGAAAGCGTTTGCGCCTTGCGTTTTGCGCTCTGCGTATAGCCCGTCAAAAAAGAGCCCATTATGTAAAATGTCCATAATTAATTTAATATTAAAATGTGAACTTGTTTTTTTCCCAGATGTTACCCAAATTTGAAGTGTAATAATAATCCTATGTGCTTAAAATTCTAAGTGAATAAAAGCTAATAGACATTGTAAATAATTATAATTTTTAAAATAATTATTTTTGTAAAAACAAAAAAAATTCTTTATATAGTGTTTTTGGGTTTTCTTTTTCTTTTGCGACCTTCTTTAAGCACAGTTGTTTAGCCTTGAGTTCTGAATTTTGGTTGTACCTTTTATACAATTTATTCACTTGGCAGACATCTTTAGCCACACAGCGTTACAGCATATTTAGAATTTACATTCCCTGAGGATAATTCTGTGAGACTTTCACATATATTTTAATGTTCAAAGTAGTATTAATTAAGCATCTGATGGATTTATGGCAGGCTCACGCTGCGGGATCTGGGTCCATGGGCCGCCCACATGCGTTGGGTTGTCTGGGTGATGGCCTCTGGAGGAACTGCTTATGTCTTCTTCTTCCATGAAAAGTGAGCTTGTTTTCAACAACCTGTTCATTTTTTTCTTTCTTTTTTCTTTAAATTTCAGCAAGAAAAACTTTATACCACTGTGCTTCATATATGCTATATGAAATCCAGGTCTTGTTTCTTACTAACTTTAGATGTTGATTCCCAAATGTTTAATCTTGCCTATTAAACTGTCTTGCACTTAATTTAATGCAGAGATTCAACAATTTTAAAAAGTGGTAATATATGCATATAAAGCATTTTAAATGCAAGTAAGGTGTTTACACTGTAAAAAAAAATACCACAATACACCATGAAAGTGTTTTTTGTTACTCCTTTTTTTCTAAAGATAATCAGGTTAAAAAAAAAATTTTAGCTATAAAAAGTTTAAGATAATATTTTTAGTTAATTTGATAATTTGATAAGTGTTAGATATGGGTTGCAACTGCAATCTGCAGGAAGGTGGCTCTCCAGGAACAGGGTTGGCCACCCCTGAACTAATTGAATGCCAAAGTCTGTTTAACTGATTGTATTTTAATTACATTACATCATCAATGCTGTAACAGGAACCATGTAAAATGGAAAAAAAAACTCACAATAACAGGTCACCGAAAGTTTATTAGTATGGGGAGAAACACTAGCTTGGCATATACTCTATTTGGCAACCTGCGCTTGCGTTTGTTTTGATCCGGAAATGCAATACCTAGTCCAACCACTGGGTGTCAACCCTACATAAACACCTAAAAACTGTGTGTAATCATATTTTGTTTTAATGGCAAACCACAGAAAGTATTTATTTACTTTTAAGAAACACATATGGCATTTTCTGTGCTGTATGTTTTGTGTGTGTGTGTGTGTGTGTCTTTGTGACAGGTTTAAAGTTGTCGAGCTGATCTGTTACATAGCAATGGGGGTTTTTCCTGCTCTTGTTATCCTCTCTATGGTAAGAAAATGAATATCAATTAAAATTTCATTGACAGACTGTTCAATTTTCAATTCATGTTTATTTCTATAGCACTTTTACAATGTAGATTGTGTCAAAGCAGCTTAACATAGAAGTTTTAGAACATTTAAACGGTCTCAGTCCAGTTTACAGTTCAGTTTAGTTCAGTTCAATGTGGTTAAATTTGCACTGCTGAAAGTCCAAACACTGAAGAGCACATGCATCGATGCGCAGCTCCACAAGTCCCACTATGTATATTATATTTACACATGTATATCGATAACTGACTGAACTGCTTTGTGTTTCCGTTACAGGCAGACAGGTCAGGTCTGTGTGAGCTTCTGCTAGGTGGCGGATGTTATGTGCTGGGCATGGCGTTCTTCAAAAGTGATGGAATTGTTCCCTTTGCTCACGCTATATGGCACCTGTTTGTTGCAATGGGAGCTGGCATCCATTACTATGCCATCTGGAAGTACCTGTACACACCTGTCAATCAACCAACCAGTACGGCCCGGTGACACACATGTGCATGCACCTAACCACAAAATCATTTCAATATATAAATTTATTTATATGAATACCACTTAAGTGCTAACATACTACTATCTAACGCATACGCAGTATTACATTGTTTTTTCTTTCTGTTGTGTTTTTTGCTGGCCAACAGCTTGACTGATTTAATTCTTGTCGCTCATTAATAGGTCTTTAACTAGCACAGAAATTACAACTAGCCTTTGTGAGACTGCAGGCATTTTGGACCTGAAGCCGTGTGCTATCCTGAGACTGATAAAGGATCCAGTCTATGGACGCATTGTGTAAAGGTTTACAATTTTCTTTTTTTTTTTCCAAATGTAAAATCACTGCCAGATCTTTTGTAAACACACTCATCCTGGATAGTAACTACTTGACTACAGTTTTAAGGTGTTCCTGTAGTGTTTTTAAACTGAGACATTCTGCCACTGCCATTGTGGAGATAATCGTATTTCTGTTATGAAAGTACATTCCGTATTACTGTGCGCAGTATCAGTTCTTCATGCTTCTAGTGTTATGCTAGTCTGGTACTCGTTTTTGGATGTGTCATGTCTTTGGAAAATGCCACAAGTGCTTAAAGACAGTGTCCAGGGAGAAACATGACTGGACGGGTCACTTCATTCCATAGCTTAACAACTATTTTTAGGTTTTTCTTTTAGGTAAATGTATTTTTGGATTTAATTATAGAAAGTACATTAGAGAGTTAAGCAAGCTTACTTTTTACAGTCTGCTATTTAAACGAGGGGCTTCTTTGCTTCTTTTCTTTTGTATTATGTATATATATATATATATATATATATATATATATATATATATATATATATATATATATATATATATATATATATATATA